AACCTGTTAACTATTTAAGTAATTAGCGAAGTGAACAGGGAAATCAGTTCTTCTTTCTTATGTTGGCTGCAGAAGGATGCTTACGTGCACCGGAACAAGATGCCAAGCGTCTTCCCCATAGCAAGAGCCTGGAAGTGTGCAGCAGGAGACGGCCTTCCTGGCCCGTTTCTTAGAGCAGTTCCCTTCAGGCGGCTGCTTGATAGCATCTATTCAAAGGCTTTCTCAGAGTCCCTAAAGGCCTCACTCTCAAATGGCCCTCTTTGGGGCCAGCTGCCTCAATTTCGTGGTGGATGACCCTCCTGGAAACAGAACTGAAGGGGTTTGTTTTGTTTTTTTAAGAACAAATCCATCAGTTAATGACATCGCCAGCTCTGCGTCCAGAGCCAGAGTGTGTGGTCTGGTCTCACTGCTTGCTTGATGCTGCCAGCTGGAGTGCCCCGGGAAAGCGCAGCCCCGCCCTTTCCTTGGAGGAGGAGAGGTTGGCCTTAGAACCTGTTCTTGAGGTCAGCCATTTTGGAATCTATTGAAGCCGGAAGATACAAAGAGTTTAGGAGATGATAATGACTATTACAGTAGACTTAGAACAAACCATTTGGCTCCAAATTAGTGAAGATTACTTCTTTAATAGCATAATGCAATTCAGGGATGATTAAAATGCTCTCTTTTTGTTGATCTCTTTAACATGAAAGGAAAAATCACAGCAATAATACAAATATATCAGATGGAAAGCAAAACGGAGGTGCTAATTTCAGAATTCTGCCCAGAAAGATAGTGCTTAGTTACAGTAATTATACAAATACACGGTTGTGAGGGCAGGTTAAGACCCGGCTGGCAGATGATCTAATTACGTAATTGAATTGTTTTCAGGATGAAAATATGATCAACTTCATCAGAGGTGGCCTCAAAATTAGGACAAGTTACCAAATATATAAGTAAGTTAAACATCACAATCTGGGTTTTAACTGATTCTCATGCTCTGGATCTCTTTGTATTTCTAAATTCTCATAAACTAAATAGGCCTTTAAAAAATTATATTGATGGTAGTAAAAATGTACTTGATTTTTGACGTACTGGGCATGTGGGTGTCCATTCCACAGGGCAATAGAATTAAGTTGAGATAGACATTAAGAAGGAAAAGTACCTGGAGAGAAAACCACGGGCTTAACCTCTGCTTAGATCATCTTACTTTTTCACTCCTCAAAGCAACAGATAAAATGGCAGGTGTGATTTTGACCTAGCCCCTAGAGCAGTGCTAGCTCATAGAACCTTCCGAAATGATGGCGATGTTCTCTATTTGTGCTAATGCATTATTTTGTTATGGTTGGGCGTTTGCTTAATTAACGTGGACTATGGCTTCTATTTCCTTAATGATTATTATTTTAATCTAGTTCTAGCAATCACTCAGAATGTTAAATCTCCAACTTTTAATATGGAATCATCTTTTCCTCTCTTCATTTGCTTGATACATGTTGAATCTGGTGTCACAGTGGATTAAGCAAATGCAGCAACTCAAACCCACCAGCTGCTTCTCTGGAGAAAGATGAGATTTTTATTCCCATAAAGATCCACAGTCTCTGAAACCCTCAAGGGCTTTGGTGTGTTTTTTTTAATCATTTTATTGGGGGCTCATACAACTCATATCACAATCCATACATTGTGTCAAGCACATTTGTACGTTTGTTACCATCATTGTTTTCAAAACATTTGCTTTCTACTTGAGCTCTTGGTATCAGTTCCTTATCCCCCCCTCCTTCCCTTATCCTTGATAATTTATAAATTATTATTTTTCATGTCTCACACTGTCCAATGTCTCCTTTCACTCACTTTTCTGTTGTCCGTCCCCCAGGGAGGGGGTTATATGTAGATCATTGTGATTGGTTCCCCCTTTCTCCCCCACCTTCCCCTTCCCCTCCTGGTATCACTACTCTCATTACTGGTCCTGAGGGGCTTATCTGTCCTGCAGTTTCCAGGGCAGTTTTACCCTGCCCCTATAGGCTCAGGATAGGTTAGAATGAATTCAGTGATAATGAGGGTGGTTTTTTTTGTTTCTTTGTTTATATTTATGATTGCTTTTGCTTCCTGATGAACTTATTTATTTTTTAATACTTTTATTGGGGCTCTTACATCTCATCACAAACCATACATTCATCCATTATGTCAAGCACATTTGTACATACATTGCCATCATCATTTTCAAAGTCTTTCTTTCTACTTGAACCCTTGATATCACCTCCTCATTTTCTCCCTCCCTCCCCCAGCCTCCCTCATGAACCTTTGATAAGTTAAGATTATTATTTTCATATCTTACATCTTCCTCTGTCACCATTTACCCACTTTTCTATTGTTCGTACCCCCCGGGAGGGGGTTGTATATTGATCCTTGTGATCAATTACCCCTTTCTCACCCCCACCCTTCTGTAATCCTCCTGGTATCTCTACTTTCATTGCTGGCCCTGAGGGGTTTAACTATCCTGGATTCTCTGTGTTGCGGGCTCTTATTTGTAGCAGTGTGCATGTTCTGGTCTAATCCGATTTGTAAAGTAGAATTGAGGTCATAATTGGGTAGGGAGGAAGCATTAAAGAACTAGAGGAAAGTTGTATGTTTCATCGGTGCTATACTGCACCCTGACTAGCTCATCAAACTTATTCTTTTATAATTATGAAATGTCCCTATTTGACTATCAAAATATTCCTCATCTTGGAATTTACTTTGTCTGAATTTAATAAAAGTATTCATTTTTTTTATTATTAGTGTTCACATAGCTTAGAGCCTCAGCTTCTCATGACCTTGGAAGTTTTCAAGATGATTGGCTAGTTATTTTGAAGAACATCTTTCAGTTTGTACTTACCTAATGATTAAATTCAAATCATGCCTCTGTGGCATGGATTCCACAGAACTCCTTAGTGCTGGGTGTCACAGCCGTAGATGTGTTGTTGTGCTGTCTGCCGACTGCACTCCCAACTGACAGTGATCCCCAGGGACAGCGGACCCACTCTTCCTGGTCCTGTGCCCTTCCCAGGATTGGTTACAGACAGGACCAGGTTCTGATTCCAGGGCTTTGGTTGGCTGCTTCTCAGAAGTAGCCTACCAGACCTTTCTTCCTCGTCTTAGTCTGGAAGCCCCACTGAAATACATTCAGTATCCTAGCAATACGGGAGCCCCCACTGACAGATGGGTGGTGACTGCACGGGTGATTGGGTTGACTACATTTTGATGAGGGGGCCTCAGAAAGCATGTGGAAGAATGTAGTTACCAGACACTGGGATCTCCCCACTGACCTATTGAAGCCCCTCGTATAAGTATCATCCTTAGCAGGTTTGAATGATGTAACAAATTATTTTTGTTAACATTAACTTTTAAAGTTATAGTAAACACAACTACTTTTCTTCTTCTTCCCCAATCCAGGGAATGCCTTTCGATCTTGCAGGTAATTGAGAAGAAGAAAGTTGAGCAGCAATTCTTCTATGAGTTTGAAGGGGGTGTGAAACTTGGAATAGGAGCATTTAACTTGGTAAGGAAAGAATTACAAAGAAGCCAGGGTTTATTATAGAAGACCCGACCGTGTTCAGTGCTTTTTGTATAACCCGTGACCCTAACCTAAAACTCTTCACTGGGCCTGACCGACAAGTGACCCTCGGACAGTGAGGTTTCCTGTGCTTTGACCTAGTGGGACTTCGGCCAGTATGCGTTGTGCTTGTCTGCACATGCTCAGACTCCCCCTGGGTTGTCCGGAAGCATCCTGTAAGGTTTTTAGTCAGAAAGATCTTAGAATCCAGTTCCATTTCAGTGTCATAAATATTGTTGCTTTGATAGTGGCAGTGCTGGAGAAATTGGTGAGGAACAATATAACTTCAGAGATGGTTTTGTAAGTCCTTGGGTGGCACAAATAGTTGACAAATAACTGCTAACCAAAAGGTTGGAGGTTCGATTCTTCTTAGGAACACAGCTGAACAAAGATCTGGCAGCACCAGAACACCCTGGGGAGGGCAGTTGTGTTCTGGCCCCTGTGGGGTCACCATGGGTGAGAATTGACGCTGTGGCAACAGCTTTTAGTATATTTTGGCTAGTGGCGAAGAAGAGTCTGAGTAGAGACCTATCCAGTTGTGATACATTAGAGATTTTGAGATTTTAATCAAGGTTTGACTTGGATTGGGGTGAAAATGACACAGCGTGATGGACCCATACAGACACGTGACCACTAAACAAGACTCTTTAATCTTCCTTTGAAGATTAAAGAAACCTGTTTGGAGGTGGTGGGCTCTGAGCAGCTAGCCACCTTCCTATCTTTCCATCACTTCATGTGTTCGTTAAAGAGTCCTGGAAAAAATCAGCCTATTTTTTCAGACTTAAATATCTTTACTAAGTGAAGTTAAATCGTAAGTAAGTAATAACTATAGGAATAACTGTAGTATAAGTGATCATTGAGAATGTCTAGTAGTTTTTAACTTGCAATTTTCATCTTGTTGAGACACTGACATGGTACGTTATTTGGCATGCATGCATCTGTCTTTTTTTTTTTTTTAAGATGCTGTCCCTTTTACCAGCAAGGATCATCAGACTACTAGAATTTATTGGCTTTTCTGGAAACAGGGTACACATTTAATTTTATATCGGCTTTGACGGGGTTGGGCAATGCAAACATGTCTTCATAGCTAGAGTGGTAATTTCCAGAATTTAGCAGCGGCTTTTCCGCTGAAATGAAAACACTTTCACCTTGGTTATCTAAGTTCTGAGATGTAGAATTATCTTTTATTCACATCTTATTACATATTAAAGAGTTGATATTTTCATCAGAGACATCGTAGTGTGTATGTGAAAGAGTAATTCCATGCTGCTGTGTCTAGAGCAGTGGTTCTCACCCTTCCTCATGCCATGACCCTCTCATACAGTTCCTCATGTGTGGTGACCCCCCAACCATAAAATTATTTTCATTGCTACTTCATAACTGTAATTTTGCTACTCTCATGAATCGGGCAACCTCTGTGAAAGGGTTGTTCGACCCCTAAAGAACTGCTGATCTAGAATAATACAATGCAAAGAACTTGTGAGGTTGCCTTATGCTAGGTACTAATGTAAATTTTCTATTTATCAACACAAAAGCCTCAGCACCATTCTAAGGTCAAGAAAAAGTAAGCGCCACCTTTATGAGGGGTGAGAACACATGTCCTGACATTCTAGGTTCTGGAAGTGGTGTGTAATTCTACTCTTCTACTCCTAACACGTGCTTAATCCCCACAGGAGTTGGGACTCATGCAGTTACAAGAAGGGGCATCAGGAAGAAGCATGCGGGCTCCTCTGTGCTGCTTAACTATACTAGCCTTTCATACCTATATCTGTCTAATACTTGGTAAGGACTGCCTTGCATTTTCCTTCCTTGAGAGTTGATTATCTTGCGCCCAATGAGTAAATAATAATCGAGAAAAATAATCAGTAAGAGCTAGTAGTATGTTTACTTTTTAAAAGCAAAGATTAAGAATTGTGTCTCACCAGCCCAAGAGACAAGGGAACAACAAGTGAACTAAAATCAATGGAGAGAAGGGCGTGGGATGCCTAGTGGGGCTTGATCAAGGGCAATGTAACAGAGAGGAATGGCTAGACCTGAATGAAGGCTGAATGAAGGCACAGGAGGAAAGTGAAAGGAAATAGAGGAAAGAACCAGGAGGCAAAGGACATTGATAGAAGTCTAGATACAGGAATGTACTTATGTAAATATACTTATATATGAGAAGAGGGGAATAGATCTATGTTTTTATATCTATATGTTAAGAATTAAGATTGCAGATGGACATTGGGTCTCGACTCAAGTATTCCCTCAACACAAGAACACTTTGTTCTAATAATCTGGCATTCTGTGATGCTCACCTTCCCGACACAATCACTGAAGACAAAATGGGTGCATAAGTAAATGTTAAGAAAACCGATGGTGCCTGGCTATCAAAAGTTAGAGCGTCTGGGGTCTTAAAGGCTTGAAGATAAACAAGCATCCATCTAGCTGAGAAGCAACAAAGCCCACATGAAAGAATCACACCAGCCTGTGTGATGATGAGGTGTCGATGGGATCAGGTATCAGGCATCTAAGACCCAGAACAAAATCATATCCAGTGTGAATGGTGGGGTGGGGGTGGGGTGTGTGGAGTGGAGACCCAAAGCCCATCTGTAGACATTTGGACATTCCCTCACAGAAGGGTCACAAGGAAGAGTTGAGCCAGTCAGGGTGCAGTATAGCACCAATGAAACACACAACTTTCCTCTAGTTCTTTAATGCTTCCTTCCCCCCACTATCATGACTTCAGTTCTATCTTACAAATCGGATTAGACCAGAACATGCACACTGCTACAGACAAGAGCCCGCAACACAGGGAATCCAGGATAGATAAACCCCTCAGGGCCAACAATGAGAGTAGAGATACCAGGAGGATTAGGGGAGGGTGGGGGTAAAGAAAGGGGTAATTGATCACAAGGATCAACATATCCTCTCAGAGGGATGAACAATGGAAAAGTGGGTAAAGGGTGACATAGGAAGATGTAAGAAAATAAGATGAAAATAATAATCTATAACTTATCAAGGGTTCATGAGAGAGGGCGGGCAGGGGAGGGGAGGGGAAAAATGAGGAGCTGATATCAAGGGTCCAAGTAGAAAGAAAATGCTTTGAAAATGATGACAATAAATGTACAAATCTGCTTGGCACAATGGATGGAAGTATGGATTGTGATGAGTTGTACAAGCCCCCAATACAATGATTTTAAAAAGAAGGGGGAAAAAGAAGAATTGTTCAGTCACCACCAAAATAAACTTGAGAACATTTCCTGCACTTTCACTCATTATTTATTAGCTCCCCATTTCCCCCCAACCTCCCCTGCCGCACCCCTACAAAACTATTAATCTAGCTACTGTCTCTGTAGACTTACATGTCTTAGATTTCATGTAAAGAAAGTCATACTAAGAAAGCCTCCAACAATAACAAAACGAAATAGAGAAAAACCTCAATCCAAAAGAAAGAAAATAATAAAAACTAGAACAACTTTGTCAAAAGGTAAAAAACAAATGACAACGTGGTAAATTTTAACATACCTATGTCTGCATGAATTCACTTTCCAGTGCACGCTCTCCAAAGGCATGGCTGTTCATGTGCTTGGTCAGTGGTCAGAGGGAACGTAATGGAATCTTAGTCTGTGTCGGGTTTAGACTTTCCCTGTCAGCCATAGCCCTCTGTAAACCAGGTGCTCAGAATTAAGCTCTAATACAATTACCTCCTTTCATCTTAGATTTTACTATTTATAATCCTTGGATCACAAAGATGTGCTTCCTAGAAATTTTGTTTTAATTAGATATCCTCATATTAATGTTTAGCAGGAGGGTGGAGTGGCTTCTTTTATTTGATTTAAAAAATGTGTCCTTTCTGCTTTAAAAAAGAATTTGATACACGTTATTACTACTTTAGTATAAAGACTGAATCCATCTGCCATAAGTTCTCTTAAACTAAAGTTGCAGGTGAAGCGTGTATATTTAGTTCCCAAGTGTGAAAACGACCCATCACGAGTTTCCCATTTTCCGGGATGAAGTAGTCCTTGTTATGCGTGAATGGTGTTTGGGGGCTGTTGTCCTCATCTTCTGGAGACTGAGGCTTCTCCTGTTGACTTTTTAGGTACCGGGGAAGTGAATATCGTGGAAGCCGAGAGCCTCCTTGCACCCTTCCTCCGGCAGTTCCCAAACGTATGCCTCCTATTTCCGTGTCCGTTTCAGCTCCACTGACGCAGCTGAGCCGCCCCGATTTCTGAGCAGTGTCTCCTCTCCCCTCCCCGCAGGGCTCGCTCATGCTGTTCTATCATGCCCGGATAGAGCTGCTGAAGGGGAATGTCGAAGCGGTAATTTATCTTGAGGGGCTTCTGGGGGAGTCGTCCATGTTGTAGAGTTCTTCACTTACCCCTTCAACTTGCAGCTAAATGGACCAGACCCAAATAAAGGTGGTGGGAGTGGGGGTGGGGGCACCATAATTCAAAAGCCAGATTTTCATTGTGTGTATGTATTTCTGTGACGTAACATAGATCGCTAAATACAGTCTATGTTAATAGATCACATACAGGAGGCAGTTCAAGGTAGATCATGCAAGATGACTTGTAAGACATTTACAGGAATCTTGGAAGCAGTTGACTCACCAGTTTCTGCATCACCTGCCGCTTTGGAGGCTAGCCCTCTTCTGCAGTGGGCTAGCCTCATCATCAGAGTCCCTCACGGAAGGGGCTTTGTGGTCAGAGGTAGAAGAGTCAGGAGTATTTCATAGAAATATATACATAGGCAATTTCGTATGTAGAAATGGAATCAAAACAAAACAAAAAAGAAATGGAATCAAATACAGTATTCTTTTTTGTTCCTCCCTACAATGCATTTTGGTTGTATTTCAGGTCAGTGTATCTAAATCTCCCTTTCTTTTTTGATGGCGAGGTTTCATTCCATGGATGGATGTATCATACTTAACTAAACTGTGAGAGCAATCTGCTATTGCTAAGACATTTAGCCACTTCTGACAAGGCTGCTGTTGTAAACATCCTTATTGTACATTTGTGTGCACAGGCTTATTTATGTCAGACAGATTGTGATAAGTCGAAGATACATGCATTTTGGTAAAGCCAGCAGAATTGTCCTCTTAAGGCAGTGTCAATTTATATCCCTCTAGGGGATAAGAATATTTATTTCCAAGTCTGTTTGCCAGAACTGAGTAAATTATCCATCTTTTTATTTTTGCAAGTTGCTGGCCCCCCTCCAAAAAAGATAGAATTAAAAATTTTAATTTATATTATCTGTTTACAGGTTTCTTCATGTGTATATTGTGTTTGCATATCTTTTTTGCTGATTAGTCCATTCGTCTTTGCTAATTTTCCCATTGAGTTACCTTTTTTCTTAAGGATTTCTAAAGATTGCTATATGCTAAAAATTAATTCTTTGTTACTTCTGTATGGATTGGATACTTTGGCTCAGGAATAATTTTGCTCAGCTTTAATTTTGCTTAGGAAGTGTTTCATCCTACCTAGCTTTGACTTCTCAGGAGCCCAAATATGTTAGTCTTTGCTTAAAGTGCTTGTGTACTTTGAGCTTTCCTTGGGAAGCAACCCTGCCATGTTATAAAGTGCCAAGGCCCCATCTCAGAGCTAAATAACAAAGTGGCACACAATGGTATCATTGCCTATGTGAAAAAGAACATGTTATGTTGAATGGTTTAATGACTGATACTTTTGTTCTCTTAGTACAAAGCATCTTATGTATTTTTCCATTAGGTTATTATCTCCTTATCTAGTATCTGGATGATCAGCTTTATGCAATTGACTTATAGGCACAAGAAATATTCCAAAAATGCATTTCAGTTCAGGAAGAGTGGAAACAGTTTCACCATCTCTGTTACTGGGAGCTGATGTGGATTTGCATTTTCCAACAAAACTGGATGCAGGCATATTACTATTCAGATCTGCTTTGCAAAGAGAGTAAATGGTCCAAGGTAAATGTCAATGTTTCCATTTACGTCACCTGTTTGCCAGTAAGCGACCAGAATGATCTTCATTTAGGACAATCGTGCAATAGTATGACGTCAAAACTATGTTTTCAACTTAGCAATCCACCCATGCAGGCAATAGACATTAAGTACCTTCTGCTAATGGGCATGATACTCAGTGCTGCAGCTTCAAAAAAAATCTGTTAAAAGGAGTAGTTTTTCCTCTAAAGATGAGCTGCCCTTAAACTTTCTGATGTCTTGGTGATTAGACTTTTAGGATCATCACAATTAGTTCTGATCTGTTTGGGAGAGGCATGGTCTCTTTTCTCAGTCACGAAAACTTGTAGTTATATGCTAGAGATGTGGTCCAAGTTAAAACGAAAGTGTTATTTTCATTTAGAACAAGTAATACACGACTTCTCTTGTCCCTGATTGTTTGATGCCTCTGGAAGGTTTGTAGGTCATTGTGGTAGAAATGCCACACCTTAGGGCTACACCGTCACGAGACACTTTTCTCTTCCTCCAGGCGACATACGTCTTCCTGAAAGCTTCCATTCTGAGTATGCTTCCAGAGAAGGATGGAGCGCCCACTCAAGAGAACGTGGTCACGTTATTCAGGTAAGCAAGACCCGAACAAAGACCCTCCTCCGTGTAGCGGTGAGCAGGCAGGTCCCTCCCAGTCAGCTCAGGTACAGCTCCAGAGGGTCGCCCTGCTTTACCTTCCTGCTGCTCAGTTTACTTCACCGTTGTACAGGAAAGCTGAAAACGGGGTATTTAGCCCAGCACCAATGATGCCATCCTTTTAGGAGGATTTTACAGCCACTCGGTGTGACTGGGAATCTTGAGAACTTGTTCTTTTTGTGTGTGTCTTGGGCGTGGGGTTTTGTTTCTGGATTTTTACTACTCAGTTTTGAACAAAGTTTTCTAGAATGGTAACTATCAAAAGATGGTCACTATCGCTGTAAATAGAATGTACATTCCACGATCAAATACACTTTAAAAACGAAGTATATCATATTCTTAGTTTCCATGAGCATATCATAAATTGAAGAGGCTCTGCTGTGAGGTAGTCTGTTGGACTTCATTAGACCAGTATTCCACTGTCTGTCCATCTGTCCATAACCTTTACAAATAAGGCTTAACTCTACAAACCACCCTTCTGTTGAGCACCTACTCTCTTGTTGTTGGGTGCAGTTGAGTGGGTCCTCACTTTGTCAAGACCTTCAAGGACAGAGCAGAAGTGCCCCATGGGCTTTTCTTGGCCTTCATCGTTACCGAACAGATCAGCAGGCCTGGCTTGAGTGGAACCACTGGGTGGGCTCCGACTGCCAGCCTCTTGACCATCAGCTGAGTTCATAATCACTGGGCCACCAGGGCGTTTTTGTGTGGTCCACGGAACCAATGTTCTGTTCATTCAAACTCTGATCTTTAAACCATGGATTTTCATGTCTGAGTTTTCATGTTTCTCTCTCTTCCCCCCAACACACACACACATGCCCACTGCCTGTTCCGCTGATGTGAGTGGACATTCCATGCATGGACATCCTGGGGCAAGATCCCTGCCCCTAAATTGTGTCCCCAAATACCTGAACACAAGCCTGCCGTAAGAGCGGAATGTTTTTTTTCTCAACTGGACGTGGCCCGTCTGTCTTTCTTGGCAGCCTGTTTGGTTCCTTTTCAGAGTGATGCACGTGGAAGCACTTGCAGGAAACACGGAGTCCCTCCCTGCTACTCTCACGTTGTGAACACCCTGCTTGGAAGGAGGAAATGTGTCAACAGGCTGTGCGCCCATAGCGGGTTGTCCAGTGTCCAGTGTCGCCTGTACCGGGAAACAATTGGACCGCTGATAAATTACTTGACCGCCTATTTTGAGCCACGTCATTTTATAGATCTGTGCCATACTTACGGAGCAGGATAAAGAGGAATGTCATGGCAGTGTAGAGAATGGAGGGAGAAGTACTGTGGGATATCTCCTGCTTGCTTGACAGACGCTCTCGACCAGATTGATAGCTGGTTTCCTGGACCTCGTATGGTTTGGTAGCTCACACCTTGGTTTGGTAGCTTCGGACAGAGGAGAGAGTTGTAAACGCAGTGGTCCTCAAACCGGAATGCACAGCAGAATCACCTTGGCGGGCGGATTAAAGTCCAGATCGCCGGGCCCCAGCCTTGGTTCAGTCGATCTGAGTGGGGCTTAGAAATGAGCACTTCCCACAGGCCCAGGGGATGATGGACATCTGATCTGGGGCATGTTCCCTGAAAACCACTGGTGACCTTATGTGTGTGTCCTAACGACCTCATCTTTCCCTGGGGGCGCCGGCTGGGACCCCTCACAGACAGGTGGAGAGCTTGAAGCAGAGAATTGCTGGTAAATCTATCCCGACCGAGAAGTTCGCCGTGAGGAAGTCTCGCCGGTACGCTGCCGGGCTGGCCCCCCCTGTGAAACTCGTCCTACCAGCACTAGTATGTAACTCTTACTTGTTTTCTGTTTGTGCACTCGATGCTCCGCGGACTGATAGCAGCAGGGAATATATCAAAGTTCTGTTGTGATGTTTGGCTCAGTTACAAGCATCTTCAGGTGATTTTGGTAAGGTAAACTCATTTATGAGTAAATTTATTTGTTCATTATAAGTTTTAAAATAGCTAATTTTTCTTAGATTGACAATTCCAGGCCATTATGATAAAGGCTATTGATGAGTCATATGAGGGAGCTTCGGAAAATTTTTATGAACCTTTTTTTAAAGGGCTTGAATATTTTGAAGTCCCCCCTCATCAGTTAATTATCTCCAGAAATTGATGAGTATAGTTCCCCAGAGAGGTTCAGTTGACTTAGTCAAGGTCAAGTTGTAAACGTAACGTAGACCTGATTCAAGAGCGGCATTGTTCAGTACAATTAGGATGTAAGCTACGTAGGTGATCTTAGACTTTCAAGTCACCTCATTAGCAAAAGGAAACAGGAAATTAATTGCAAAGACTATGTTTGCTTTATCAAATATATGCAAAATGTTGTCTTTTCAACATATCCATAAAATATGAACTTGCTGGTTCACATTCCTGCCTTGATACACTGCTTCATGGACCCCTGCTGGGGATTCTGCACTTTCCGAACATCTCGTTTTAGAGGGACTGCATCTCAGGGTCTGAGGAACTCAAGTGGCCGGCTGTCGACTACCACAGTGGACACTGCATGCTTAGCCCTGCCATTCTTAACCAGTCTCCTGTTTGGTTATGCTTCTGGGAGAAGTCTTACTTCAACTTGAATTTCCTTAGTGGGCATTCCTGAATGTACCCAACCCCTCTGATTCTTGGGAACATTGCAGGCAGACAGCATCGGATGGCTCCTGGTCTATTGCATGGGTCCCTGGGTCATTATCAAGTGATCTGCATTGGGAAATATTTTTTTTATTTCTCTCAAAAATTCCCTGGACACTTTCCAGGGCATTGTAGTTCTTTCTTAGCCCTCGGACCTAGCTAGATTCCAGTGTGCGTGACTGTGTACTGCTTTGACTTAGAAAGGCCTTAGGAAAGGTCAGCTCGCCCTATTTGTGTCTCCAGGTCTATGATTCAGGATGTGTGGAGAATAGACTTGAACTTGTGGTTGCCATGAGTCAGAATAGACTGAACGGCAGCCAGCAACCAGGAGGCTTACTGCAAGCTCTGATTTTTCAGGAACTCTTCTACATCAATTTAACTCCAGTGGCCGAGTCGAGCTGGTCTGGTCCCAGGCATCAGACCTTGCAAAGGCCGGACGTGGGCCCTTCCTTGCCAGCTTTGTAAAGGAAGCCTACCTTGGTTGCCACTCTACTTGAGTGAGCCCCGCCCCCTCCTTTCCTTTGATGTACTTCAAGATCTGACCTGCCCTCCCCGGAAAATTAGAAAAAATATTTTCAAGCAAAAATGCATTTGCTTTTGATCCCCCCAAAAATCTCATCCTCAAGACCCATTAAGTGTTATCCGCAATGAGAAAACATCCAGGGACCTTTCGAGGGGCTGTCTTTGGGCCATATGGCCTTTCAGTGGACGTGTTCTCTGCATATTGGGTTATATTCCTGGTCTGCCACATATTTTAATAGTAGAAAAGGTCCCGGCCCAGTGACATAGCACTGATGTTCATTTCCAATGATGTTCTTGGAACCGTTTTATGTAAACCACTGGCAGGCATTTACACATATTTCCCTTTACTTAAAAACATCAACAGAAATGCACATTAAGTGGAATTGTTCCATAAGCCCAGTTTACACTATGACCTTGACTGCTTTATCAGCATTCTGTCTTCTTTCCAAGAGGATTAAATACCAGTAGATTCCCAATACGTGTTTCTTAAATGAATGAGTGAATGACGTTAATGGAAGTATTTACATTGAATTACTGCACCATATAAAAGGCATAACATGAGGGAATGGGACACTATCTCACTAAACTCCAGCTGAGGAAAGCCTTCCTAAATGCTGTCTCCAGGTTCCTCGCCACCAAAACAAACCCCCAAGGCCTGGCATAACCCCACACCATTACAAATGGCTTTCCATTCTTCTTTGCTAGGAAATGATGTACGTCTGGAATGGCTTCCCAGTAGTGAGCAAGAGAAAGGACCTCTCTGAAAATTTGCTGATAACGATTGAGAAGGCGGAGGAAGCTTTGCAACATGAGAGTAAGTATGGAAAGTAAGAGCCCAGAAAGCCCAGTCTCTGCGCCCCTGACACTCACTTGTGCCTTCCCTGTGCGTGTCTACCATGGTCATTTATGTGCATCAAGAGAACCCGAGTTAGAAGAAAGAAAATGTTTTGAAATGGATTGTGGCAGCAATGGTCCAACACTGCTTGAGGTGATGGAACTATTGAACAATGATATCTGTGAGCGCTCCCAATAAACCGATTCAAAAAAAAGATAAAGAGAGTTGAGTTGAAAGGCGGCAGGCGATCGATGGGGTGCAGCAACAGGAAGGAAGGGGTGATGCGTGCTGTAACCTAGAGGGGCTTCTGCAGAATGAAAGAGAGCAGCTACCAAAGACCACACGCTGCCTGACTCCAATTCCGCGACTTGTCCAGAATGGGCAGAGCCGTGGAGACAGAGAGTAGCTGCGTGGTTGCGGGGAGAGGAGGATCCTGAGGGGCGATAGCTAAGGGGCACGGGGTGATGAAAATGCCCATAAGTGTAGTTGTGGAGGTGGTGACACCAAAATCCATTGACCTGCACACTTTAAACAGGCGAATTGTGTGATAGGTGCATGATACCTCAGTCATGCTGCTGAAAGCCGGGGGCAGGGAGGAAGACAGTCATTTGGGACTTAGGGCAGCACACGGAGAAGGCGCGTCTGCTTTGGGCATTCAGCTTGTCACGGGCGCTCCCGTGTCTCCTAGAGCTAACTTTGCAGGCTCCTGGGTTTTGCAGACACAGGGAAGTAAAGGTACTCTTTTCTGAATGTAAAGCGGAAGCGGTGGGGAGATGTTCATCTGTGAGTGCGCGCATAGGGTTGAGTATCATCATAAAGCATCTCTGAAGGAAAGCAGTCGTCAGAGAGCTCGCTGCCGCGTGGGGGAATGATCATGGTGTTGCTCTCGGAGGTTCTGGGAGGCAGGCCGTCTTCCTGAACCCATTTGCCACAACTCTGTCTCAAGGAAAACTCAGCGTGGCTTTACTGGCGCTCTCACTTCCTAGGACGTTCGGGTCACTCCTTGGCAAAATCCTCCTTCGCCGAGCACCAGAATGTTGGACTAACACAAACAGCTCATAACATGCTACACTGAGCTTAATAGCATGCACAGAAATGGTAGTAAAAGATAACATCCACTGTGGACTGTAGGGTTTAGTTCTGGGCCCTGAGAGATCATGCTTTTTGAGTGTGTATTTCAATAAGCCCACATGATTAGAAACATTGGTTGTGTGTGTGTGTGTGTGTCTGCACACGCACCGTGTGTAATGTTCATAGTTAAAAGTAACAGGAGAGGCCAGGGAGCAGTGATACTTAGGGATTTCTTGGAGAAAGAACTATCAGTGTGTAGGAGTTCAAAGTGAGGATTACCTGTTTTTAGCACCGAAAAGCCAACTTAGGAGTCTGAGTCCATTTGATGGCAGTGCGTTTGGATGGAGTTGGTGTCAGCATCACCGTTGACCTCCCACGGACAGTTTACCAACTGAAAACTCAGCAGGCCCGAAGGATGATTTTTAAGTGTTACAGGAGAAGCACGCAAATTTCCATAGGAAGGGTACCGTGTCCTCATTAGCTCAGTTTACGGCCTCTGCCACCTGTGTATCACAACCTGAAATGTATGAATTACTCGTCTTGGAATGACTTCCTGAGCAAGTGTAACTGGCGAAGAAAGCAGAGTTCAAGTGTGCAGGGGCATGTCCGGGAGACAGCGCCACTTCTGTTTCAGTGCACATTGCCTTGGGCTCTCGAAGGTGAAGCGGCATTTTCAAGAGAAAAAACCTGGTGAAGGACAAGCCTTAACATTTCTCGCAAGCAGTGAGGGGGCTGGGGGGAGCATTTGATGCACTTCAGAACCATTTTGTCTAATTTTATTGCATAATTTCCTCCCAAAAGAACATAACCTGGGAGACTCGATAATCAGTTGTAGACATAATGATGTGGAGAGGGCATTGTGCTTCCTGAATTTTTAACGGGGAAGAGGCCATCTGCTTCTCCAGATGGGAGTGCCACCGGCTCCCGCTTTGACGCCAGCGCCGCCGTAAACCACGACAACGGGCGGACGCAGCCGCCCTGCTCCTGGGGCTTCAGTCTGGAGAGCTGGCAAAGCCCTTACTACGTTTAGACTTCAGGTTCCTGTTGTATCTGGCTAGGATGGAATGCTAATACAGTAACTGCAACCTTTATAAACCGTGTTTTCCATTGAATTTTAGGTAGCAAGACATACCTCGCTGCCATCCAATCGGTAGCGCCTCAGAGCAACCCTATAGAACAGGGCAGACCTGCCCCTTTGGGTGTCCTCAATCTGTAAATCTTATGGCAGTAGAAAGCCTCATGTTTCGCCCTCGGGAGTGGCTGGTGGATTTGAATCGCTGACCTTGCGATTAGTATATCGCAAAGCACAGCCACTACGCCAGGGTTCTCCTGAGTTTAAAGGAGGCATAGTGGTTCTGTGTTGGGTTGCTAACGGCAAGGTCAGCAGTTCGAAGCCATCAGTAGCTCTTTGGGAGAATGACTGGCCTTTCTAAAAAAAAAAATCTCTGAAGAGTTAGCGTCTTGGAAACTGACAGGGGCAGTCCCACCCTCTCCTCTAGGGTCACTGAGTTGGCACCGACTCGATGGCCGTGAGGAATGTGATGAGTGACAGCCAGTGAGCTGTTCGTGCTTCTTCCCTTAGATTTTTTTTTGATCATCTTATTGGGGACTCGTACAGCTCTTACCACAATCCATCCATCCATCCATTGCGCCAAGCACACTTGTACATATGTTGCCATCATCATTTTCAAAACAGTTTCTTTCTACTTGAGCCCTTGGTATCAGCTCCTCATCCCCACCCCCTCATGAATCCTTGTTAATTTAGAAAAAAATTTTTCATGTCTTACACCGACCGCTGTCCCTTCACCCACTTTTCTGTTGTCTGTCCTCCTGGCAGGGGGTTATATGTAGATCATTTTGATCGGTTCCCTCTTTCTCCCCCCACTTTCCCCATACCCTTCTGGTATCGTTACTCTCATTATTGGTCCTGAGGGGTTTATCTGTCCTGGATTCCCTGTGTTTCCAGTTCCTATCTGTACCAGTGTATGTGCTCTGGTCTAGCCAGATTTGTAAGGTAGAATTGGGGTCCTGATAGTGTGGGGGAGGAAGCATTAAAGAACTAGAGGAAAGTTGTATGTTTCCTCTGTGCTATGCTGCACCCTGACTGGCTCGTCTCTTCCTTGTGAGCCTTCTTTCTGTAAGGGGATGTCCAACTGTCTACAGATGGGCTTTGGATCTCCACTCCGGCCTCCCCTCATTCATGTTGCTTCCCTTAGATTTTAAAATGTATTTTCCTTGTCCCGTGTGTCTGCTTCTTGTAAGGTTTGAATGTCTACTCCGCGGATGATGAGTGCTTGGTGAAGCTCTTGAAAGGCTGTTGTCTGAAGAACCTCCAGCGGCCCCTGCAGGCGGAATTGTGTTTCAACCACATCATTCAGAGGTAATTGCAGACAGTGGCCCGTGCCGCCTCACCTCCTGGTGTCTGGAGCCTTGCCCTGGGACCCCCGGCAGAAGGCACTCGCTCCTGCAGCTGGATCTTTGAGTCGCTGTAACAGAGGCCCTGTCTTTGTTCTCGCCGAACAAAATGACAGCCTTAAACTGGACCTTGGCTTTGTGAGCTTCCTGTTGGTGTTCAGAGGCGACACATGAAAACGAGGTCGCTGGCAGGACCGACAGGCGCTCCAGCGGACTCAGAGCTTTACTAAGCCCCCGGGAGACTGCGTCAGTCCCTGTTGGCTTGTGTGTGTGTCTGCTGTGCCGGGCGGGCGCTCGGGGTTGGGGTAAACAGATGCTGTGATGAGGGCGGGGGACTGTCTTCTGTATCTGCATCGGGTTCTTTACAAATCTCCCCCCAGCACTGGTGGCCACGTCCCACAGCGTTACAGAACGTGGGCTGGCGTCGGGGTTCTGAAGCCTGGCCCCTCATGCAGCTGCAGTTCACAGAGCCAAGCAGGCCCTTCCCGAGAGAAGCAGAGTTCAGGGCTGGTGGGCCCCAGCGGTACGCAGCCCTGCATCTTCTTCCCAGAGTGCGGCCACACCTCTGTTGTTTCTCGCTTTGCTCAGTGTGGGCCCACCGTCCCTGTCCTTTCCCAAGAAAAGCCTGAAATCCGGGCTCCTTGTAAAGCCGCCAAGTTTTAAATCCTGGCTCCCCAGTCTTAGGCACCTCGACTGGAAAAGGCTCCTTGCCATTTGCCCATGGTTGCCTCAACTTGTGTCTGACCTTGCTTGTTTTCCGGCTTCTGTTCTTACAATTGAAGCTGTGGGTCTGCTATGCTTTGTACATAATTGAGTGTATGTTTGTGGAGGTGTGTGCAGCTCTTGTAGGAGGTTCCTACAGGGTCAAGGCTCTGTGGCCTAGTTCTTTGTTGCAAATCTCCCTGCCTGTGGATTGTGCCACCAGCACTTTAGTCCCTTTCATGGTACGTGCTTGCTCTGGTTTGGCACCAAGTTTCCTTCCGAAGCTAAGCCTGGCATTTGAGAGGGTGGTATGCGCACAGACGCGTGCACGCGCGCACACACACACACACACACACACACACACACACACACACACACACTTTGACTACAATATTATATAATATATAATAGCACTAGAAATAAATGTATATCTATACATATCTTTCTAGTGCTTCTATATCTATTGCAGCCAAAGTCTTTGTGTTATTGGTGAAGAAGCAAGTGTCGACCAGAATCCTCGTGAATTTTTAAAGTATTATAACTGAAACTAACTGCCATCGAGCAGTGCCAACCCACGGCGGCGACCCTGTTGGACGGTGTAGAACTGCCCCTGTGAGTTCCTGAGATGATAACTCTTCCTGGAATACAAAGCGCTGTCTTTCTCCCGTTAAAGTATTATAAGACGCAAAAACATACTGGGAGCTGTACATCAGTAAGAACTAACACAGCTCTTGGAAATCTCTGAATGGAGTCGTTTCCTGGGCCCGCGCGTGCTCACGAGGGCCATCTTGCCCTTTCCAGCTTTTGGCTTTGACGTTCTAACGCTAGCCCTCCCCTACTTATGGGCGAGCGGACGTCACCAGTCACCAGGGCTGCCTCTGGATTAAGGGATAAAACAAAACATCCATATATGAGACATTTGTCTCATGTTTCATTAGAGTCCTTAACTGGTGGATGGCACTTTTCCCTCAAAGCGTTGCAGGTCCTCTGCTCATGGGCTTTGTGCTGGACTTCTCTTCCAAGTCGTAGGGGAAATCGGTGGAGTGACGGTGTTTCTTGCTTTGTGAAAAACTAGGTTGCTCTCTATTTGCTCTTTTAGTGAAAAGCTACTGAAGTATGACCACTACCTGGTGCCATTCACCCAGTTTGAGTTGGCATTTTTGTACCAAAGCCAAGGAGACATCGACAAGGCCATAAAAACCCTAGAAAATGCCAGGTAAGTAACTGCTAAGGAGTCGGGAAGTCAGGCCCTGCAACCCCTCTGGCTCCCGGAGATAGGTTGTTGTTACCATGATAATGACAGCAGCCGAGACAGTGTATACTTGTGAATTAATAAACGTATAATCAGTAATAGCGTTACCCTTGATAACGGCCCCTCAAAACCCAAACTCTGCCATTGAGTCGACTGTGCCTTGTAGGGAGGCTGTCGGCAGCGTACTGTAGCTCTTTAAAGGAATAGGAAGCCTCAGCTTCCTGTCTTGAAGTGGCTGGTGGTTTTGAACTGCTGACTTTGAGATTCACGGCTTGGTTTATGCTCACAGCTTTGGATGCGACTGTGCTGACTGTTGAGCGGTAGGGATGAGTGCCACTGTGATGAGTTAAGTTTTGGCTCCTCCATGGGCCAAGGGAATGAGGGAAAGGTCAGTGCTGAAGCCAGTGCCTCCCACTGCTGCTGGACAGCTACACAGAGGAGGCCCGCATGGGTGCTCTAAGCAGGATGCTTAGGGTGCTCCAAATCACCTGTGGATTTCTGTGCCCTTGTCACGCGATATGTACTGGCCGAACCACTGCTACTTGAGTGCGAGCATGGGAGTAAGTACAATCACTCTGCACCTTAAGAACCCCCGAGTCAAGTGCAACCTGCAGTTACAAGCCACCCCGTAAAGCCTGTTATAGAAAAACGCCAGGCCCAGACCCCGTGGTTTCTCGTAACCACAGGGTGGTACTTAGTAGCACACACCAAAGCATTATTATATTATTATTATTGTAATACTATGTTCAAGGTGTTTTAATGTTTCTGAAAGTGTTTCTGTACTTTTTTTAAAGCATAGAAAGGCACACTATATACGAAGACAAATATTTGACTAACTGATGTTAGACACACACAAACTGTTCCAACTTGCACGCAGATGCGATTCAAAGACAGGTGCAGGGATGGCACTCCTGGGGCCTCATGGTGGGTGGTTTGAAGTTTTCAGTGTGAGAGACTGATCAGATTCATCCTATTCACCCGAGGCTCAGATTTCACAAAAGGGAGTCGGACTGTTTAGAAAGCGCTCCCCTAGCCTCCTCTCTCTCTCGCTCTGTAAATGGCCCGGCAATTCAGCAGAAGCTGGCTCCTCAAAAGCCACCAACAGGGGACTTTGAGAAAGGCAGAAGGTGATGCCCACCCTCACCGTGCCCCCAGAAAGCAGCATCTGCGTTTTCCCAAGATCCATTGTTTCACACAGGAAAGCTCACAGAAGGGGAAAGGAGGGATGCCTTGGTCTACAAAGCTATTTTTATTATTAATACAATTCATGTCGTTAGCAAAGTTTCGATCGCTGTACAGTTTAAGTGTTAATAAAGCTTTATCGTTTTCCTGTCGTTGCCTTCAGAAACAACTACAAAGATTACTCCATGGAGTCTCGACTGCACTTCCGAATCCAGGCAGCTCTCCACCTCTGGAGAAACGCTCCCTCCGATTGACGAGCGCCTTGCCCTCGGTCAGCACTGGCCGCTGCCATAGGGTTCACCGCGTGTTCAAGTACAAAGGCCGCCTTGTAAACGAGTGATGGAAAACTAGCCTTTTTGTCAATATTTTCTATCATCTGTGTGGTTTACTGTTGGTCTACATAATGTTTATTGTTTTCCTATGGAATGATGTTCAGCACTCTCTAGAAAATGCTTATATTTTGCCTCCCCCCAAAAAAAAATTCACATTAGATTTGGGGAGGAAGAAGGTACAATAAGATCCAATTAGATTATTTTTATGTGGGAATAAATATTGTTTACGTAGCAAATGGCTTACAGGTTGAGCCGTCTTTAGATTGTTGGTCAGTTAGACTTCAGGTATATCTTGTTGCCTATTTTTAAATTTAAGAAGGGAAATCACACATCACCTGAATTTAAAATAGCCGAACAGGGACCTTCTGAGGACTTTTGGAAGACAGGCCTAGGGGATAGATAAGGGATGAAACAGTAAGTGGTTTTTTTCTTTTTAAAAAAAAATTATTTATTCCTGCTGGTTAAAAGATGGCAGCATTTTAAAGAGACTGTCCTCTTTGGGGTGTTCCTAAATCAATTATACTAAATCATATCTTAAGAAATTATCTTTAACCTTAGCAGCGTGAGTCTAAATATATATATGTTATTTTTCCTATAAGAAGCAAAACGAAGTTCCTGTGGCTTGCAGTGATATATTAAGTATCAGTATGTTTATACTCATGAAGTTGCTAAGATCTAATTTTGGAGCCATCTGTGATGGCTCCTTGTACATATCTGGACTCTGCTTACTTAGTTCTTTCCTTGGGAATTGCGATCAAGGGGATGGTGTGGAGAGAGTGCCACTGGTGGGGCCCTGCCTCTGTTAGTGACGTAGTACCCCCCCCACC